GCCTTCACCTGTGCCGGTATGCTGGGGAAGCCACAACCTTAGTTAGGGAAAAAGACTGTTTGCCCTCTGTGCACTGTATGCTAAGGTTTTTAAAACTTTGTCCTTGCCTGGTCGGAAGTTACTAAAGTAAGTGATGCAAGTAAACCGACACATGCTGCACAAGTCTACAACGTGGGTCGAGTTAAAACACATTGGGGTATTAAGACAGCTCCGTAAGGGTTAACACAGTGTAGAGTACAAGCAAGTGGTTACCAATGGTAACGGAGGCTTAACAAGCAAGCCCTGTCATGAGAGCACGTTCCTGTGATGGGCAATCCTTCCTTTTGCAGCGAAGAATTTTGCCGTTATCTATACCCTGGCGGTCCATCTCCCATAGCAATGAGAGCATATCAGCATTGCCAGCCTAAAGCACTAGGTATGGAAGAGAAACAGTTAACAGAGCGTGCATGGAGTACGCGCTATGTGCTTTGCAGGACTCCAGTCCATTACTAGGAGTGAGGTAGTGGAGATACGTCTGGACAGGTGGAGGGGCATCGACCTCAGTATGTCCCTCCAAATGGCAATTAACTGACAGCGAAGGGGTACATTGACATGGTGATGAAGGTCCAGTTTATTGTTCAGTGTACACGATGGAGGTCCACCTTAAGGTTCAGTTTTCCTTGAAATGGCCTCCTCCCTGTCCTGGGGCACTGATGGGGCACAGCACAAGTAAAGGGAAGGCCTATTATGTGACCCACACTTTGCACCCAACAAAGACGGGGAAATGGAGGACGTACCACCCCATCTACCCCCACAGCTTTACAATGGAAATACCTCCGGGGTCACTGTTGAAAAAACACTAATAAACTTTATGACTCTGGGAGCCCTGGAGAACATAGTTACATAGTTAGTCTGGCTGAAAAAAGACAAAAGTCCATCCAGTTCAACTATTAAAAAAAAAAAGTTATAATCCTACACCCACAGTTGATCCAGAGGATAGGCAATAAAAACCCAGCAAAAGCATGATCCAATATGCTCCTGCAGGAAAAAAAATCCTTCCTGATCCCCAAGAGGCAATCGAATATTCCCTGGATTCCACTTTGCCTATAAATGTTAGTATCCAGTTATATTCTTGTGTATCTAAGAAAGAATCCAGGCCTTTATGGAAGCAATCCACTGAGCTGGCCAGAGCCAACTCTTGAGGGAGTCTATTTTTCACATTTTCTACAGCTCTCACTGTGAAGAAATCTTTCTGTGCTTGGATGATTACATTTCTCTTTTCCTCCTCACGTAATGGAGTGCCCCCTTGTCCTCTGTGATGGGACCTTCGGGGTGAATATTAGTCTCTACACCGAGTTCACTATATGGAACCACTGATGTATGTATGTATACATGGAGATCATATCCCCCGTTTATTTTATACATGGAGAAAAAAATCATATCCCCCCTTATGTATTATACATGGAGATCATATCCCCCTTATAGTCATAGAGATCATATCCCCCCTTATGTATTATACTAGAGATAATATCCCCCCTTATGGGGTAATGGAGATCTACACCCCCCTTATGTATTTACATGTGATCACCCACCTTATGTATTATGGTGATCATATCCCCCTTATGTATTTATACATGGTGATCATATCCCCCCTTATTTATTATACATGGAGATCATATCCCCCCTTATGTATTATACATGGAGATCATATCCCCCCTTTTGTATTATACATGGAGATCATATCCCCCCTTATGTATTATACATGTGATCATATCCCCCCTTATGTATTATTTCATGTGATCATATCCCCCCTTATGTTAATTATACATGGTGATCATATCCCCCTTATGTATTATACAATGGAGATCATATCCTCCCTTATGTATTATACATGGTGATCATACCCCCCCTTATGTATTATACATGGAGATCATATCCCCCTTATTATTATACATGGTGATCATATCCCCCCCCCTTATGTATTATACATGGCTGAATCAATATCCCCCTTTGTATTATTATAACATGGAGATCATATCCCCCTATGTATTATACATGGAGATCATATCCCCTTATGTATTATACATGGAATCATATCCCCCCTTATGTATTATAGATTATTATTATTTTATTATACAGTATTTATATAGCGCCAACAGTTCGCCTCAGCGCTGTACATTACAATGGGGGACAATACATGATGGACAGTACAATAACAATACAGTGCGATACACGCGGGATTCGAGGGGCCCTGCTCCTTGGAGCTTATGGAGATCATATCCCCCCTTATGTAGTATACATGGACGATCATATCCCCCCTTATGTATTATACATGGAGATCATATCCCCACTTAATCTCCTCTTCTCAAAGAGAGAATAAATTCAGTTCCTCTAATCTTTCCTCATAGCTGATCTCCTCCATGCCTCTTCATCAGTTGGTTGCCTCTTCTCTGTACTTTCTCCAGTTCCCCAATGTTCGTTTTGTCAATTGGTGCCCAAAAACTGAACTGCATATTTCCAGGATGAGGTCTTACTAATGATTTGTATCGGGGGAAATTATAATCTCGCTCTCTGGAGTGTATACCTCTTTTAATACAAGAGTGTGAGGATTTTGCTCGCGCGTTAGAACCTGCAGCTTGGCATTGCTGCCATTATAAAGCTTGTGATTACCAGAACTCACCAGTGATCTCTTCTCCACCATTGATTCCCCGAGTTGTACCCCCCTAGTATGTATGTAATGCATGATATTCTTAGCCCCCAAGTGCAGAACCTTATATTTATCAACATTAAACCTCATTTGCCACATAGTTGCCTTAATTACACAGAGCATTCGAGGTCGGACTTGTAAATTGAAGACATCTTGTAAGGACGAGTTATTTCACTACACAGTTTGGTGTGTCATCTGCCAAAGACTGAAATGGGATTTTTAATCCCCAGACCCTATATGTTTATAAATAGAGTTTGAAAAGTAAGGGTACCCAACACTGAACCCTTGGGGTACACCTCACTGATGACCCTGGAGACCATTCAGAGTAAGAATCATTAACCACTACTCTTTGAATACCAAACTTTTAGGACAGTTTTCGTGAATCCATTTACATATAGATTTTTCCAAGCCCGCAGACTTCACCTTACACAGTTAGCCGTGTACGGGGAACTGTGTCAATGCTTTTGTTGTACCTCAAATCCTAAGTATACCACGGGCACAATCCACCACCCCTCTGTCCAAAGGTATACCATGGTCCACCACGCCACCCCTCTGTCCAAGTATACCACCTCCACCCCCATTGTCCAAGGATCATACCACATCCATAGCCACCACTCTGTCCAAGTATACCATCCACTCCACCACCCCGCTCTGTCCAAGGTATACCACTCCACCACCACCTCTCTGGTCCAAGTATACCACATCCATAGCCACCGCTCTGTCCAAGTATACCTCGTCCACGCACCACCCCCTTCTGTCCAAGGTTATACCACGCCACCAACCCACCCTCTGTCCAAGTATACCACGTCCACACACCACCCCTCCTGTCCAATGTTATACCACGTCCACCACCACCCCTCTGTCCAAGTATACCACTTCCAGCCACGAGCCTTCCCCTCTGTCCAAGAGATACCACATCCACCGCCACCCCTCTGTCCAAGAATACCACGTCCACCCCACCCCTCTATCCAAGGTTTTTGCTCACCTCCTCAGAAAAAAGAAAATCAGAACAGTGGAAGGTTCCATTCACTTGGAAAGGACTATCACCCAAAAAGTGACTTATGGTCCTTTCAGTAACTGTGGAACAGTGCACGAGTTGTATAACACTTTCTGTAGGTTTTACCTTCACTGAATATAATGTGCAGCCTCGTTGGTGATGTCAGAGTGGTTGTGTCTTGAGACCCCCTTTATCGGGAAAGTGGACTACCACTGTATAGAAAATACTAGTGATACTTCAGGGAATCCTGAAGAGTTTTCTTTACCAGATAGATCCCTACACCCATGAAATCCATTAATTTGCCTAGATCCCCTCACTTTTCAACTGATGGCAGAGCCGTGCTCCTGCTATATTTTTTAGCCAGTGTGGTTAAATCAAACTACAAAATGTTCTCTAACCTGTCTTATTGCCTGTTCCTGAAAACAAGTATGTATAGGGACTAAATTCTCTCACAGGAAACAACTTTTCTTTAAAAGAAAGCAACAACGTCGCTTTAAAAAAAAAAAAATAAACTTCATTGACTTTAAGCTAATTTCCCCCACCTTTCCTTACTTTGGGCCAGCTTGGTCCCCCCACTAATCCCGGTGAGGCAGCTGGATGTGTGGTATAAATTCTGTATATAGCTGTGGCTACTATTATAGCATACCGCACTATGTTCTGGGTTTGAACTGAGACTTCCAGTTCTTAGATCTGGAACACATTAGAGTCTATTACAAGAACGCTCAGACCATTGCAGATGTAAGGCATGTGTATTCTATCAATAAATACAAAAGCTTCCTCTGATTGGTCTGAGTCAGAGAGCGCAGGCTCATGATGTCACAACTCTGACTCAGCCATAAGAGGAAGCTTTACAGTCAATGATAGAGAGAATACATTGCTTACTCTGATGCATGGCCTCAAGCGCCCACTGTGATAGGACACTACTCGTGTTCCGTGGCTATGATACTGGAAGTCTTGGCTCGTACCTGGAACACATGCAGTATGCTGTAGCTGCACATGCTACATACAGTATCTCCCAGAAGTGAGTCCACCCGAACATTTTTGTAGTAATATTTTATTTATCTTTTCATTTGTAACAACAAGGAAGAAATGACACTTTGTTTGCAATGTAAAGTAGCAAGAAGTACACGGTTGTATAACAGTATAAATTTGCTGTCCCCTCAAAAAAAACTCAACACACCGCCATTAATGTGTGTGTGTAAACCGCTGGCAAACAAAAGTGAGTACACCCATAATTGAAAATATCCAAATTGGGCCCAATTAGCATTTTTTCCCTCCCTGGTGACATGTGACTCTTAGTGTTATAAGGGGTCTCAGGTGTGCATGGGAGCTATGTGTTGTACAATTCGTGCTATCTGGCTGCTCTCACTCTCTTAACTGGATATCACTGGATGTTCAACATGGCACCTCATGGCAAGTACTCTCTTAGGATCTGAAAAAAAAAAGAATTCGTTGCTCTACATAAAGATGGCCTAGGCTAAGAAGTGATTGCCAAGACCCTGAAACTGAGCTGCAGCATGGTGGCCAAGACCATATAGCAGTTTAACAGGACAGGTTCCACTCAGGTGATTCCATACTTTCCTATAATAGAAGCTGGTGAAGGTTATCAGTGAAAAAAACTCGGGATACTGAGTCAAACACCAATAATCTGACAGTGACCCAAACTAAACTGACAGGTGCCACTCAAGGCTCCATTGGGTCCTTTTAAATGTAGCAAACCACTTGGAGTGCGGACAAGGACAGAGCTGGTTCTAGCTCTAAACATCTAATGGAAAAGGGAGCAGTCCTGGAAGGATTGCACTTCTCCTGCAAACCTTGTATGAGGAAGGTTATAGAACAGCCCTCAGCCCGGGGCTCCAACCAGGGAAGGTCTCTAATGTGCGTTTCACTCCTGTCCAGGGAGCTTAGTCATACGGATAAGGATCCCATGCATAGGGGGGAAATAAATGCACCAGTGGCTGCGCCATTTAATTAAGAAAAATAGGTATCAGGTGAACATGAGCCTTACACTAGGATTACACAGCATAAAAAGCTAAAGTGCAAAATGGCAAAAAAAAAAAATAAAATTGCCAAAAAGAGCATACAAAGGATATAAATATGGGCACTAAAAAATACAGTGGATGGCGAACAATGAAAAAATAATAAAAATGAATTTGTATCCAAATATCCAAATACATATTCATTTTTTAATATTTTTTCCATTGTTTTCCATCACTGTTTTTTTTAGGGATTATGTTTATCCTCTGTGTGCCATGCCTCCACTGGACACCAAAATGTAGGATGACACAAGATATACCCTGATGGTGGGTTCATGAGGGCTACGCTAGGCTGGGGTCACTATTGTCTGCCCATGGTGGTTACCTTTGCTGTGTCATGCTCATCAATGCCCGAACACAAGGCAGAGGACCGCTTTCAAGGAGACTCAACCTTGAGTCAGTGCTCTAACTTAGGAAATGTAGACCATGTATACTGATCAAATAAACTGGGGCTCCAGTTAACTCTTTTATCAATGCACACCTTGACTGTAACTTTTGCATTTATAGGAGGGACACGCAGAGCCTATGCCCACGTCTACTGAAAAAAATATAAAAAAAATTGGGAACCCAACCCTCAACCAGCGTATCTCTGTCACGTCACTCCCAGTGACAGAATGGAGTCCCATTGTGCACCTAGCAGAGAACCTGATGCGGTACACGTTGTCCTCCTAACTGAATCTATAACTGTGGCTGCCCTCAGCATACCTGCACAGGTAAGAATCCTTTATTAGCAGAGTCCATAGTGGCAGAATCCAGATACTAGTGTCTATGGCGGCCGACTTGGCCAAGTTAGAGTACAGGGAAGCCCTGACCACACAGTGACGACAACGGACACGACAATGACATAGGTATCCCTACACAGATGACCTCTGTCCCTTTTATAATGCCACAGGATCAATGGGTTGGACCCAAAAAAATCTGCCAAGAAATCCCTGGAGCAGCAGCATAAAGAATTAACTCCTTCCCTCTCATTAGGGCACCCATATTAGCTGACGACCATAGGCAACCTGCCTACAAACAGCATGTACTTCAACTTGAAAGGCGAATCTTAAAGAAGAGCTAAACTCTGTAAGTTTGCCAAAAATAATGCAGGCAGAGGGCACAGGACTAGACAGCAGTATTGTCTGTGGCCTCTCTAAAGCTGCTCTTTTTCCATTACTGACCCACCATGAAAATGGTACAATTTCAGGGCACTGCTTAGGCACAATTAACATATCTAGATGCAAAATCTTTACTTTTTTCAGTTTCAATTTAACACTGGATTTTGCTGCTAATGCTGGGCGATTTCAATGAAAAAAATGAGGAATTAGTTTTGTTTGTTTTACAGAAAGTCACGTTATTCAAAAGAGACATTTTTTTCAATGCTCAATCCTAAAAGATGTAGATTTTAATCTTTATTGTTCTTTTAGGCTTAGTCCTAGATTATAGAAGGGTCACATAGGTCATGTTGCAGGCATCAAAATAAAACACAACGGATTTTTTTTTTCAACTAATATTTATGTAATATACTATACATTTATATTATAAAAGGTGTTGTGACCTCTGTATGCACAAAAGTTTATACCATAAAAAGGAGCATGAGAAAGTCTAATTGAAATCTGGCCCTATGCAGGCTAGTTATGTTGTGACTTCGATTCTTTTCCAGTAATTCTCTACAAATCGGGCTTTAGTTATAACCAGGGGTGTATTTACCACAAGGCAAACAAGGCATTTGCCTAGGGCGGCATTTTTTTCAGGAGTGGCAACACTGCCCCTTGGAAGAAGGAACCTGGTGGGTTCCGAGAGAGTCTGTGGGTTTCATGACGGTGTAAGCACAGCCCGACTCTCAATCCTGGGGATGTCTGGAGCTGTGAAGGTGGCTGGTGTATGGGGGGCAGTGGTAGTGGAAGGCTTGGGTGGAGGGCAGGGGTGCTCTTGGTCAATGTCAGGCTCTTTCTGTGGGGGGGGGCCCAATTTTTGTGTTTGCCTAGGGCAGCACAAAACCTAAATACACCGCTGGTTATAACTATACCAACTACACAGCAAAGGCAAATAATGAAGAAGGAAGTCTGGAATGCGACACTGCTGAAAACACCATTATTACAAACGTTTCATAACACTTGGTAAAGCATTAAACAGACAGTAGGGAAATGAAAGGAACCCATTAACGTGTTTTATGTTGTACTAGCACCTACTCATAGTCATGCTTGCTATGAATAAACACTAGCACACTGCGAAACGCATTAGTTTTGTTCCTATCATTCCCCGTCTGTCTCTGATGTTTTTATGAAACTTTTGTAATAAAGGTGATTTCAGCAGTGCGCTAGTCCAGACTTCCTTCTTCATTAGCATTTCTGCTGTGAGCTGGGCTGGTACCTAAATATAAATAAATAGAACCTTTTTTGTGTCAATCAATGAATTGAAAAATAAAGTCCACAAAAAATATTTTTTACAAAATTACTCTTCTGTGTCCAACTTGCACCTTCACATACTGTAAATCCTGTGTGTACCTCAAAAATAAAATACTACATAGTGCATTACCTTCAATAACAGCTAGTATATACTTTAGCAAACAATAAGTATATACGTAACACAAATAAGTGCAAAAATTAGTGCAAAAATTAGACAAGATTCAAATCGTGAGCAACACGTGAATCATGAAATCATTCCATGTACACCTTAAATAAATTAATGTGAGCAAAAAAAAAAAAAGAAAATCAATAAAAAAATATATAACTCAAATAAAATAAATAAATAAATATTGCACTCTCCTGATTCTTTCTGCATTCTTCTGATCCCTTCAGAAGTAGTCCGGAAGTGACGAAACGCGTCAGACCATGACATCAAAAATAACGGCGCAAACCGTAAGTCGCGGAGCAGCCATCTTTACTATTGGAAAACTGCATTAGAATGTTCCAGGAAGCTGCTCAGGCTATGTCATGGGAATATGCAGCTGACAGATAAGATGCCTATGTAAGATTTATTTAATAAATGTTTATGCTCTTTGATACTACACTACACGGGCTTCCTTTCTATTTTATGAGGATGAGGATACATTAGATGTTTGCCTAAAAGTGGAATCCCACCTGTATTTACTGGAGTGAGAGTCCAGGGAGTGACTACTACACTGGAGTGACAGTCCAGGGTGTACTCTACAAAGGCTTGTTATTAGTCTGAAAGGGTAATTGTATGCATTTCAGCTTTACAGTAGAAGTGTTCATGAAGAGTGCACTATTTATTTATTTATTTTTTTATTTGAGTTATAGATTTTTTAATTGATTTTTTTTTTTTGAGTGTACACTGATTGCTCAACATTTATTTATGTATTCAAGGTGTACGTGGAGTGATTTCACGATTCACGTGTTGCTCACAATTTGAATCTTGTCTAATTTTTGCACTAATTTGTGTTAAGTATATACTTATTGTTTGCTAAAGTATATACTAGCTGTTATTGAAGGTAATGCACTATGTAGTATTTTATTTTTTTTTGAGGTACACACTGGATTTATGTGGAGGTGCAAGTTGGACATGGAAGAGTAATTTTTGTAAATAATAATTTTTGTGGACTTTATTTTTCAATTCATTGATTGGTACAAAAAATGGTTTTATTTATTTTATTCACTTTCAGGCAGGGTGGATACAAATCAATGATTTTTTAAAAAAAAAAATCAAAAAAATAGGATTTTATTTATTTAAAACTGATTTTTTTTTATTATTTAAATCTGATTTTTTTTAAATAAAATGCTTTTTGAGGAAAATATATTACCATCCAAAGGTTATTCCATCATGAAATAAAGATTAGTTTTTTAATTATGTAGAATAATATATATTTTGTTTAGCCAAATTAGTTAACAAACATGGATGTTTAAGCAAATTACATATGCTGGAATGTGATTGTTTCAGTTGAATAAATCTATTTAAATTGTTATTAATGATTATTTTTCTCCTTCCTAAGTACAACAGAAAAGTTGTCCAAATATGAATGATTAACCTATTAAACTGGGGATAAAAAAACTAATATGAAAAGTTGTTATTCTAAAAATCTTCATCTACTTGCATATTAAAGTTATACCAGCAAGAATTAGTCTTTATGTAGAAAACTAGGATTTAAATCAAGCCTTTCTGACTAGTGATTTAAATCGTGATTTAAAACGTGATTTAAATCAGTTTGATTTAAATCAAATCCACCCTGCTTTCAGGGGTGAAAGTGTGACTTTTTTGGACTCTTTTTGTGGATTTTTGTGGGACTTTCTTAGAATTACAAAGTTTAAAGTATATTATAATGAATTATTTTTCTGGATACCGGAATTATATATTTGTATGGTACCTAAATATGCTACTGTAAAATAAAATGAACTAAAAGTAAAAAAAAAATATACGCCACATTTTTTTACCTGTGAGCATTCTATCTACATCACTGTTCCTACAAAGTTTATTCCCAGAGCTGTAGAAAAGTCTGGGCCATGATATGCCTTCTTTCCCTGTGTATGAGAATGTAGTTACCAAGCAGCTATATCGCTGGCACCACATTAGGAACCAAGACATGAATA